GCAACTTGGATTGAAGTAATGATAATTGGCAGCTAATATGTAAGAAAAAAAAATTAAATTTTCAAGAAAAAAAGATTGCAAGGATGGAAATGGATTTCATTCTCATAGAACCATCCAATTGAGTTGCTCAATGTTTTTTTTCCTTGCTGTATTTGTATATCAATCTACAGCCTTTTTATGGTTGCATGCTGTGAACTCCATTATCGCCTCATGCTTAAATACAACTAATCTCGCTTTCTTAATTATGCTAACACATCAATGATTGATGCACGACTCGTTATTAAGCCATATGCATAGTAAATGATTGGCTTTTTGTAATTGAAAGACGAAAGCCAATGCATCTAGAGCTTTTTTTTAAAGTACCCTCAACAAATACCCTCAAAGAATGGAATGACAGGGAGAAAACATTGCATCAATATCATCAATCCTCAAGAAATAACCCAAAAGAATCACCAACTTTGAATAGCATGGAGTCCGTATGAACATAAAACGGTAAAAAAAAACCGTATGCTGTGAATATGCACTGTTCGACGATAGGTTGGGATGAAGAATGAAGAAGGGAACTGCCTTGATGCTTCAAACATATCACAGAAACAGCGGATCTATATTTTTATCAGAGTAGATCTAGGTTTAGCCAACTCAGCACTTCCAAAGTCTTTTTTTTCTTACATTTTAACACAACATAAGGTAAAGCAAAATAAAACGTTTCAAGCTCATGAAGCACAAATATTGGTTCATAGGATTAACAAGCAGAAAATCGGACCATCCATGCCAGCGATCAAAGATTAAGAAAACATTATGAATTTAACTTCAGAAGGAAACTAAGGCCTCAAAAACATCCTGCTCTTGAGGAGACAAAGCATCTCCTCTACAGCAAGCCATAACATAAATCTTTGGGTTATGACAAAATCCCTTACAGCAAAAAGCAGATTAAGAAGTTCAGTGTTCTTCTCGATAGTTCGCACGACAAGAAACAAGTAGGATTTACCAATCCTAACTGATCAAAAGATCATAAAAAAATTCTTTCAAGAAAAAAAGAGCAGCCTCAAGATTTCTGCAATAGATTAGCAGTTGCATTACCTCCAACCTACACTGAGCTCACCACTTTCTAACATCAAGCAAAGCTAAAGTAAACAAACCATAAAAAAGGAGTGCAACGAAGCAAAATCTTTGAGCATAAGAGAAGAAGAACGAGCAAACCCGAACAGGAATTTTTTTAAAACAAAAGGCAAGCTGTCGAGCAACCAACAGGAATGTCGAGCAAATCAGCAAGAGTATCAAGCAACCCACAAAATCTAAGATCGACCAAGAACACCGAGAAATCGA